CAACAACCATCCTCTTGAGCCAGAGCAGCACTACCTCTTCAAGGCACTTGATGTAAGCCTCTGTGTTGAATCTGAGTCCCTTAACAACTAATTTAGGAGTTCTTTTCTCATCAGAATGATCAGAGAGGGTTTTTGAAGCTGTCAGACCTATATATATATATATATATATATATATCACAATTAAACTCAAAAATCTTAAAATCGTCTGCAGTGTCCTCAGATTGATGCCCAAACACTCTGAAATGCAAATGTGAGCTTCTGGCATGAATGCCAAGCAGTACAGCATGCTTTTTCCAAATTTCTTGCAGAATGTATTGTTTCATGGTACTCTTTTTCTCACCGATGGTACCCAACATACACACTCCTTCATTGTGTGCAATTAAAAATATAAAATTGGCAGCCTGTAGATTTGATTCCAGCTGCTGGAGTTGGATTTAATTTTTTTTGTTGTTGTTAGAAGAAAAGGATGAGATGATTTGAAGATGTGTAAATAGAATGTTAAAAAATATTTGACAGGAAAAATAAAATGGAACATCTTCATGTGCAACATCAGATAGACAAGATAAAAATGAAAGTAATTCATTCACTGAACAGCTGGAAGTTTTTTTTTCAGAGGTGTCATAACATTGGGTTATGACAGAATAAACAAAAAAAAGATCATATCTTTCAAATTAAGAGAGGGTCATCATAATAAAAAAAGAGAAAAAAAAATTGAAATTTAGTGAATTAGTACATTTGATAATCAGTAAACCAAAAAAAAGAAAAACAAAATGGATTTATGACTCTGTGGTAATATATTACCAAGAATGGTCTACAACTTAATGAGTCTTAATTTTACATAAATTCCATCAGTGTGGATAATAACCTTGTTGGATAGAAATTTGGTTTTCTTCATCACTTCTGTTGAAACCTAATAGGAGAAGAAATATTTAAAGTCCAAATATTGGCAGGAAAATGAAAAGTCATGATGTGGCCTCCCTCTATCTTTTCTACAAATGTTTTCATGTCAGTTATTCTGATGAACTGTTCTTCTTAGTGCCTCAACGGCATGAATTTAAACATGCTGCAAGATTAGCAACTAGGTTTTAATTTTGAACTATCTAGATGTAACCATAATTTCTATTGTAATAGTTTCTTTACTCACACTTCTTATCTTTGGAACTCCCAATTTCTTGCTTCCCTGCAACCTATAATCTTCAAAAATTTAAATGAAATGTCAGTCACCTTACCATCTTCTGTCTTCCTGAAATCTGTTGTTTTATTGTCAGTTTCCACACTTCTCCTCACTAAAGTTTTCTCATTCTCTTGCATTGCGTCCTTAAAAAAAAAAGCATTTGATGATTGATTCTATTAAAGCACTGAAAAATTATATTGTGTACTCCATATTGTGTACTCGATCATTGTGTACTCCATATTGTGTACTCCATCATTGTGATTGTTGCGATTTATCAACCCTTTGTGGGTTATTTAAAGTCAAAACATATTTTGGATTTTTTTTTTTTTTTTTTTTGTGAGTGAATATTATTTTACAAATTTTTGATGATAATGATTTTTCATAACTGGGTGGAGAGATGGATTCATGCTTTTTCCAAGGGTATTTGCATCTAAATAAATGTAATGAACTAGACTGGATTTTGAACTTGACCCTCAAATTTCAAGTTGCTAATTATTGCACCACCTGCACCTCCCTTAAAATCTTAATGGATGTTATGCACAATTTGGTTATTTCTCATTACTCTCAATTTTATATTTAGTGGATACACATGTTTCAGTAGATCTCTATGTTTTATAAACAGTATAATTTTCTTCTACCAAAAATGTGTATCTGGTAAATCTAATGTATATCTTAATTATATATATATATATTAGATCACATGAGAAATTGTATAAAAAACTAAATCAAAGCACCTTGTCTTGTATTCAATGAAATGTGCATTAAAGAAGGATTGCTGCCTATATATATATATATATATGCACACATATATTTGGGTATTTAGGCAACAATTCTCTTTAAGGCATGTCTAATTGAATAAATTACAGACATTATGTCTGCTAATTTTTAACAAAACCCATTCATACTCATGAATAACCTTCCGTGTATTGATGTTGAAGGATCAACCATTTTGCATTTAAAAGCATAATGAAAAAATTATGGTAATGGATAACAATGCACAACTTTGTATAAATACTTATATTAATGAAAAACATATAGTTTTGTATTACTTACACCCCTGAAGATGATTTTGGAAAAAGATCGAAAGTACGTGGGAAATTAAAATAAAATAAATTTAAACAGCTATAGCACATTTCTCTCATCAATATATGGAAGTTTATTCATGAGTATGAATGGATTTTGGTAAAAATCAGCAGACATAATGTCTGTAATTTATTCAATTAGACATGCCTATATATATATATATATATATATAAAATCTTTAAGTCATAAATTCAGTCTTGAATATATTTTCCTTCATTTTCTATGACATTAAATCAGATTATTGACAAATTTTAAAAATGATTCAAGTTTTGATCTCATACATATTATAGTTGCTGTCTTGAACAGCAATGTTGATCCCTGTGTCAACACAGTCTATATTTATTTCTTATTAATATAAATGTTATATTGACTGGCTATACACTCTTGAGTAGATATCCTCATATTTTTACCATAAAATTAATGTCTTCCAGTCTTGAGATGAAATTTTTTATGAAAGTTAATCCATCTCTAAGCAAGTCAGCATTCATTTCACTGTTTAAAATGAGTAGGGATGTTTAATGAAAATATATCTTCACTAAATATAAGTTTACAGTAATGATGGATTAAAAATATGTAGTAATTACTTCAATATAGAAAAGCATAAGAAAATTTTAAACCTCTTTGAAATTTGTTTGGAATCTATGATAAGCATTTTTTCATGTATTATATAAATATATGATATCTGTTAAAGAATTCAGTAGATTTATCTAGCCCTAATAAGCAGTGTATCTGTGAAAATTGAAGTTGGATAAGTCTTTTGTACTTTTTTTTATACAAGGGTTTTTACCTAGTGAATTAAAGTGCTGACTCATGAATTTGGTGACATAGTAATCATGAGTTCAATCTCTGGACAGGGTAGTGTAGACTTAGACTCAGTGGAAACAGGGCAAGTAATAACTGAGCAGTACTAAATAAGAACTAAGTGAGATATTCCTAGACATGGGCAGTAAAACGAGAACAATCTATCCTTTGTAGATTAAATAAAGTGTTCACATTTAAATTCCCTGAAGGTTATACATATTGATGAGCATGTAATGAAGACCGGAGAGACCAACAGCCAAAATGTTATAACAAGCAACAAAGATGAGGACAATAGCCTGTATGAACAGGCTTACTGCCACATCACATTGAAACAGCAATTCCTGTATGATCACCTAAATTAAGCAATGTCAAGACAGGTCAATATCTACATGGGTGACTGCTTGGGAATACCAGGTGCTGTAAGTTTGAATGTGCAGATGGTGTAATGGATAATGGCTCAGAATTGATAATCAGAGAGCAGAGTTCCAGTTCTAGCTGGGTTTGTTATATTCACTTATGCACAAATACTCTTGGGAAAGGTATGAATTCACCTCTTCTACCTCCCAGCTATGGGTTAATTAGTAAGCCTTGCATTACTAACAATATTATGATCTCAAAAAAAAATTCATAGAATTTAAAAATATCTTCTGGCTTAAAAAGAAAACAAATCAGTCAAAGATCACAGATGGTAAGAAAGCTATACTGCAACATGCTATTAATCTTGAATATATCAATCTGCATGTGCATAATGTAAATAATGGTTATTCCTCATGCCAGAAATTCAGGCAGAAATTTTTTTATCTATTGTTGCTCTGTTTTTTAATATTGAGCATTTTGTTTATCTTGTAAAAATATGCTCAGTTTTTAGCAAGATAATTTACTGTACTACATGTGTTTGGTTAAGCATTAATAATCTATGTGTGTGAGAAAGAAGCATCATTCTTTGTTAAGAAACCTTTTCAATGCCAAGCCAAAAATGCAAAATGTGTTATTTATTGACTATCATTTTGATTGGCTATTTATACATTGGATGGCCAACAAGGCAATTGGAAAAAGATATTTGGCACAACATGACTCCAAGCACAAAGCTTTGGAGTGAGATAAATCAGCTGGTTGCTCAGAACAGAACGTCCACAGAGAATACAATGAACAATTGATAAGATTTTTATTCATATAGTATGTCAGTAATTTGCAATGGTGGTACAGGACATAGTTATTGCTGGTTGTTGGCCAATAACTGGAGCATGTTCTGTTGTATGTATTTTGTCATGTGGCTTTCCTGTGCTTCCTCCATTTTTTTTCCTCTCTGAATTTTATGCATCATTTTTTTTTCTGAAGCTCTTTCAAGAACAAAAAAAGTGAAAAAAAAAATGTATCTCCTCTTAATGAGGACAACCACTTATAAATGATGAAGATGGTATTTTGACATACAATAAGGATTGATTGTTGAAAAGATGAGGTTGCTGGAGTTTATTAATGATGATAGATGAAACTGTGGTGAAATGACGGTCTGGGCAGGTTTGTGTGTTTGATGAAGGTGGTTGCATTTAATAAGGTTGATGGAGGATGCTTATTCAAGTAATGAAAGTCTTATCATTATTAAAGTGAGCGAGTATGGCAGAGGTTGGGGATGGAACTAATACTTATGAAAATAGAGAAACATCTATTAATGATAGAAATGTTGATGATGGTTCGATACTATGGCGAAAGAATGTTATAAAAAATATATTTTCAAGAGGTAGATGGTGATAGTTGTCAAATGATGGTGAAAATGGTAGCTTGGTGTTAGTAGTCGTTGTAGTGATGATAAATCCTTTAAAGGTGGTACTGTAGGCTTTTGAGAAAACAATTTACAAGGTTATATTATTAGTGATCATAGGGTATTGGTAGTGTGCCAATAGTGATTATCACTAAATTGATCACATATGAGGCTTATAGCTCATGGCCATAACATACTGAAACACCAATTCTTGTATGATCACCAAAGTTAAGCAACAGTGAGCCAGGTCAGTACCTACATAGGTGACCTTTTGGGAATACCAGGTGCTTTAAGTTTGGATGTTCAGGTGCTGTAATAATGGCTTAGAATTGTTAATCAGAAAGCTGAGTTCCAATTTCAGTTAGGTTTGTTATATTCAGCTATATGCAAACATTATTGGGAAAGGTATGAATCCACCACTTCTCCCTTCCCCCCAGCTATGGATTAATTAGTAACACTTGTATCAGAATATCTTTATTATATAAAAAAATAATTCTTACAATTTTATGATTTTCTGGCTTTAAATAACCTGCAATTGGTTGGTAAGCTGTAGAAAACAAATCAGTCAATGATCACAGACAGTAAGAAAGCTATACTGCAGTATGGTATTAAGCTTTCACCAAATTAAGAATAAGAGTAGCAATAGAGTATTAAACAGTAGATTATTTTTTTCTTAGAAATAAAAGAGAGCTAAACACGTATAAGGTCATGAATGCTGGACTATTTGCCCACAGCTAAAGAAGAGACTCAAAGTAACATAAATGTCGTTCTCTAAGGTAGATGCTGAGAATATGATAGACTGAACATGTGAGTAATGAAGTAGTTTTAAAGAAAATGGCAACTAGGATGGCACATACCTAAAAAACAAAAACAGGCAGTCGAGATTTCAGGGCACATAATGAGGAAAGATAGCTTGCAAAATTTAACACTCACATGAAAAAGGGAAAGGGAAAAGTGCTAAGAGATAGGAGAATTTCATTGGAAACAAAGAGTGCTAAACTGCTCCGTAATATCAATCCCTCTATATGGCAGTGAATGCTGAACAATTTACTTACAAATGAAAAAGAGACTTGCAGCAACAGTTCTGCAGATGGACCCTGAGAATATATACTGAACATGTGGGCATTGGGGAAAGATTTAAAGAAAATACAAACTAAAATGACTCTCATATTTAAAATCAGAAAGAGAAAAATTAAATTTCTGGAACACAAATGAATGAGGGCTTTGGTGAACTTAACACACAGAGGATACATTGAAGGCAGGAGGTGCAGAGAGAAATAATAAGTTACCTACTTAACTAGTTTGTGTGAACAAATGATAGAGTGGGGATGAAAAGTGATTGTAAAAAGTCAAATGTAGTTTAGAAATACAAAGGACACAAAGCTGTGAAGTGCCATGACTGCCCACATCTTGAATGGACACAGCTCATAAGAAAGTGAAGATTGTCTGATAAAAAGTTTCCAAGTTAGGAGGGTTTGCTTGTTGTAGAAAATCAACATTTGAAATAGTGGTTTTTGTCTAGTTTCAGATACATCTTCTTTGTACTTGGAGAAAACATGTAACTATCTCAGCCATCAAAACAAAAATTATGATTTTCTCAAGAGAGAGACTTTTTAAAAAATGTGTAATAAATGAGGTTGCTTTCTCTGATTCCTATATTTTATTGCTTATGGATGTGATTTGATTTGCCATTCCTTTATAAATAATTACTTTCTGAACAGAATTGTAAAGTGTTTCAATTTGTTCTTTTTTAATACCATGATCCTTCAAACTGTAGTTGATCATGACTCCACAAATTCCTCTTCTATATTATCTGTGAATTGCTATGCATTGTTGGGAATGATAATAGACTAGTTTCCCATTTACTCCTGCACAGTTTGGAATTCAGAGTTTTCCTTCTTTTAGAGTGGTTGCCATCTAAGGATAGAGAGTCCTGTTCACTATACTCTTTAACCCATAGCTGACAGAAGAAGATACAGCATTATGCCATTCCCAATGGGAATTGGGTGAAAGTGAAGGCAACTAACTATGCAAGAATTTGAACTTGGCTTGCTGATTCCACTTTCAGTGGCAATATCACTTACACCACCCATACATCAAGTGACGGATTTTTCGAGGGAAACAATTTTTTTCTCTCTCCCCACATTTTAAGAGCATCAAATTGGGATTTAAAGTAACTGTTTTGCCTTCTTTCCATAACAAGTTATCTACAAGAAAATAGCTACTTAAATGTGTGTATGAGCAAGAGGGAGAAAGAAAAGAAACATTCATTTGTAATGCTGATCATCTTCTGTAATAATAACACTATCAGCCATTTTATCTGGCACAATGCCAGGCAGTGATAGAACCAAGAAGTCATATCATTGCAAGGTGTTATCAGAGCAGGAAATAATTCTAAATGGATGGTTTTATGCTCTCTGCTAATTTGCATATCAGTTTCACATAGCCTTCCACAATTTTATATATGCATAAATAGCAGATAGACCATTTATATGAAAGCATTAACATTTAACACAAGAGGAAATAATGTGAAGTGATTGAGTGGTAAAGGGAATGGTATGTGTGTGTGTATATATATATATATATATATAATAATAATAATAATAATATATATATATAAAGTATAATTCCACAGTACATAACATTTAATTTAAAAGAAGGCTCAATATAGAGTAGAGCTTAATATAAGAAGCTGAACAAGCATATAACTGGTTAATACTATGTTTAATTACCTCCCACCTCTTTTGTCTTTTTCTTAGAAAAGTTGATTTTGGTTTGGTTTGTTTTGTTTTGTTTTACGGCATATCAACCTCAATGGGTTATTTAATGCCGACAAAATTTTTATTGTTGGTAATATTTTTTTCAAGACTATTTCTGGTAATAATTTTCCTTCAAGTATGAATCACTGGTAATATGTTTTTTTTTCAAAAATGTATTGCTGGTAATATTTTTTTTACAAAGTATTTCTGGTATTAAAAGCCATTTTTACATCTTCACAGTGTTTTGACATCAGTTTGGGTGTTAACTATTTGCCCATAGCTAGGACCCTAACAGGTGCTACCACCTCGGGTCAGGGTGGACCTAGGAACACCAGCAATTAAGAAGGTGGTTCCACACTCCTCAAAACCTCCTAAAAGGTTAATCATCATGTAGAAAAATCACATGGTCGAGATAAACACTCAGTTGTGGAGCAAGCTAAGTGAATAAGAATTCAACCTTTAGAAAGAGCTATTTATGGTGCCATGAAGCATCTCATTGCGCTAAAGTGGGATAGTCCATTGCTTGGGCTGTGATTGGCTGCTGGTACCTGAGTGGAGGTATTTCTACCAGCTTGATTCATCAGTTAGTTTGCAGGGTTTGTATTAAGTTACAACCTGCTTTATTTTTGAGTTGAATCAGACCAGGAAACAGTAGTATTAAAAAGTGCTGAATACACGTGTGAAAAAAGAAAATAAAAGTAAAAATAACATGTAGAGCTTTTAACTTTAAATATCAGGAGAGTAGTTGAATCCACTATCTTGGTTTTAGCCTCATGGTATAGTGTAAGGTTGAAACCAAGGTAGCAGATTCTGATTTTTAAATTTATATATATATATATATATATATATATAATTGCCATAAACATTTTCTTTAATGGATACACATCTTTGAGTAGACATACTTGTTTTCTTTTTTGTTTTATAAATTTCACTGTTTAAAAAAACAAAGAAAAAAACAGGGATGTCAGCTAAAACATGTATGCTTATTAAATAAACCATTTATAGTAATAAAAAATGTTGGATTAAAAATCCTATTAAATCTGATTAAAAATCAGTTGCTTAAAAATGACTTAAAAATTATGTTTTGGCTACAAAAATAAAATTAGCAAATGTAGACTTTGAAAGATTTCACAGATATATGTGCATTTCCTAAATAGGTTAATGAAGTCTTGCTGATTACTTCCTGTGACCTGAGTGGTAAAGCATATTTAACTTAAAAAGTGATTTCCCTGATTGAAAAAGGGAATACAGGTTTGATTCTCTTTAACTGGACTTCTTAATTACTAGGCTAGAAGGCATTAATCTTGATATTTAAATAAAAGAAAATAAAATAAGTATGTTCACACACACACTAAAATATAACATTTAAAATTAATAATATATATATAAAATTCTATAGAATTTGAAAGATATAAGTAATAGGCTTAGGAATGTTGCTCTCACTCTCTGCTAATATCATTGGAATGTATATATATTTTTATCACTTGTTGGAAGTGGCTTATAATGTTAATGCGTCTCTACGCATATAACTCTACTAAATATACTTATGAGGCTGCAATATGAACTCAAATACAAAAAGCAAATATTCTGCATTGTCACTTTCAAATTAAATACGATATAACTTGTAGAAAACCTGGTGTATTACAACCCTCTTGTATGCCAAATGGCACTTATTATGAGACTAATAAGTTCAGTATGACTTCCTGACAAGCAAACTGTCAAAACACAAATACACAAACTTAATTTTGTTTTTCTTTTTCTGTGATGCCTTCTAATGAATTCATGGTAAAGTGCATTTCGTTTGAAAGTGGTTTCCCAGATTAAAAATGGAATGCAGGTTCAATTCCCTTCAAGGAGTACATTTAATTTATTAAGACTTTCAATCTCTAGACCAGTAGATTTCACTGTTTTAAAAAAATAAAAATTGAGCAGGAATGTCTACTCAAATATGTGTACCCACTAAATACAATGTTTATAGTAATAATAATGCATATATAATTCAATGTAATTTATTATATATTGAGAGAAAGATAGGTTTCCTCTCTCTTTTTAGATGGCTATTTCTCTCTCTCTCTCTTTCTCTGGGCATATATATTATTTTTATTCTATGTGTGTAAATGTGTTTGTCTCTGTTTCTCTTTATCCCACTTTGAGCATATGCTTTTCTGTATGGTACTCTTCATCTGTTGTGAAGTCCGATGTCATTTGGAGATAAATTCCAGGTTGATAAATCCACCTTATGCAGGAGGAAACTGCTTGTATATAAAGCTTTCCAACATGTCGGAGTACAACACCTTTCCACAAGTTACCCTATGCCAGCATGACTGATAAATCTAACATGGAAGAGTCAAAGATTTTCAGACAAGAGAGGGCGATCTCCAGACACCCACCATGCAATCAGGTGAGTGGATCATCAGTCCTGGACTGGTGACAATGATAATCAAGGGATCACTCCAGAAGCCTTGAATTGGTTGCATGTAATACATTCAACCAGGTGGAAAAATAAACATGGTCATTCAGAGCTGAACTC